CAAAAATACATACAAACACAGTCACACATGTGCACATGCACATGCACACACACACACACACACACACACACACACACATACAGTGCATGAATACATGGCAGCCCAGTGGGCAGACTGATAATGGAAGAAGACTGTGTAAATCCCATATGTGCTTAATCCAGACACTTACAAGAGAGTGTGATTCATACTCTATTACACTCGACTAATACAGCCGAGAGACGCACAGGGCACAATAATTTCGGCTGGCATGAACCAACAAAATAACACCCATGAATCCTCTTTATGGGGACTTTACTGAAGAGGGTGTGAAAGGTCAGGAATAAAGCCTTTGTACTTATTAGCCATTAAAACATTGGTGGCTTTGTGCCACACCCACAATTTGTGTGTGTGTGTGTGTGTGTGTGTGTGTGTGTGCACTTCTTTGCCTGAGAATGTGTGCAAAGATAACAAGAGTTTGCATGTGTTTAATGGAAGAAATTTCTCTGCAGCAGCGTACATGTCTCCACTATATAAAGTGTTTATAATACTGAGCTTCTTTTCTGCACATCATATTATTCTCAGGCCATTTTCTCTCACGAAGTGGAGTGTAAGGTTGATGAGGATGTTAAACTCCTACTCCTCCTACTTTTGCCTTCAGTTTCAAAATAGTTTAATGCAGACAATGTTGAAGTTACAGTAAGTTTTATGTAACTTATGTTGTGTTGTTAATATTGTGAAATGTACCTAAAATCACATTTGCACTATTAGTCTGAGTGAACTCATTTGATCAGGTGAATTTAATTTTGATTCGATTCCTTTCTAAAACATCAATAAATGCCATTGGGCACATTTACAGTAGTGAATTGGGAAATCTACACTCATTAGTTTTACATTATTTCAAGCAGAGTCGGTTGTTGGCCAGTCAGGATACACTTCTGTGGCTATTCTATAAAAATTCAACATTCTTGGTTAATATTCCACTGTGGTTGTGCTAGTGTGTGATTTATCCTTCGTGATTTATTCTTGCTTCATATGAGCAGAGGAAATCTCCGCTCGTCGCTAGGCTTCTTTATACAATGTAAAATGCCATAGGCTTGTGCTAATAACGTTGCATGTTGTATTTGTTTGGAAAACGTGTTAAGTATAAGACAGTTGTTTTGTCGGTGGACCTTGTGAGTTGTAATGGAGCCGAATTTTGTAACATTACCTTTGTTAAATGTTGCTGTTGTCCCTGGCTTCATATGAGCTGAGAAAAGTCTGCTAGCTGCTAGGCTAATTTATACAATGTAAAATGCCATAGGCTTGTGCTAATAACATCAGCATTTTGTAGTTGTGGGGAAAATGTGTCCAACAAAAGACAAATGCTGGGGCGTCGGTGGCTTAGTGGTGGAGCAGGTGCCCCATGTACAAGGCCGTTGCCGCAGCGCCCCGGATTCGACTCCAGCCTGTGGCCCTTTGCTGCATGTCACTCCCTCTCTCTCTCTCCCTTTCACACTTGTCTGTCCTATCAAATAAAGGCTAAAAAATGCCAAATGCTTTGTCTGTGAATGCTGCGAATTATAGTGAAGCCGATTTGTGTACTTGTGTTTGGAACTGTCACTTTTAAGTCATGTTAAATGAGTGTTTTGAATCAATTAACTAGTGTTTTGGAGGTGTACCTGCAGAGTGACACAGACACCACCGTACAAGTGTAAATGCTCACAACGGTGTAAATGCACACAAGTATAAATCCCGCTTAACTCATCACAATAGAGTGGTGCAGGAAAGAGTCCTGAAACATGGAAATGAGTTAGCATTTTTGCAGTATTGGTTCCCTTGTCTTAAAGTCAGTGGGTTTCTTGAAAAGGGTATTTGGATAGATGTCCGAAATCTCTTTAGTCTTAAGAGGTTTTCAGGTTCATTCAATTATACAAAATATGTCAGTAAATATCCCACTCGTGAATTTGATGCTTTTATGTGTCACGTCACATAAAAATGTGTTCATGTAATTACCAGCACCAGGATTCTTATCTGGACAAACCAATGGACCAAGGTAGTGCTTAGGATATGGTTTAAGACCTGCAGAAGATTTCACCTTGATAAGCATGTGACAATGGGTGAAATGAAATGGGTGACTTACGATCCAGAGTTTATACCTTCTGGTCTAGATGTGCAGTTTAGGCAATGGGCACATAATGGTGTAACAGCTTACTCACTATAGCTAATGGTAATGACTTGCAGACTTCTGACCAGCTTTCAAATGTTTATAACCTTGGAAACAAGGATATTTTTGGATATTTCCTGGTCGAGGACTATTTTACTTAAGAAATGAAACAGAGGATAAAGAACCCAATTTGATTAATATATCCATTGATGTATATCAGACAAAAGACAACAAACATTCACGAATATATAATGAATTACAAAACTCCAAAAATTATTCCACTGGAGTTCTACTGGAAAAATTTTGTGACTTCAGAATTGAATTTATATGACAGGGGTGTCAGGGGTGGGATGAATGCTGGAGGCTGTGTGGTAAATCAATGGCAGACCAGTTTCATATTTTTTGCCCACTAATTTATCCAAATTGGCAAGAGATTGCCAAAGAAATGAGGAACATCTTTGGAATGGAAGTTGATTGTTCTTTTGTCATACTGTACTTGGGCAAAACCCCGGACAATCTCGTGACCCAGGACAAATACCTTTATAAAGTACTTTTGGCCACAAGCAAGGAAGTCATCGCACAGAAGTGGCTACAGGCAAGCCTCCCTTCAAAGGATGACTGGATTGCAATTATTGATGAAATTCACTGTATGGAGAAAATCACCTTTTCTTTAACACTGCGACTTGATCAATCCATAGAATATTGGAAAAAATGGACCATATACACAAAGAGATTCAAGCTACTGACTGGTTGTGATGTCACCTATTGGTTTTTGGACTGCCGTTTTCAAGCCTCAACTTCGCCATTTGGCTGGAGCCATCTTGTTTTTTTGGAGCCACAAGGGACCATATTTGGACGAGAGGGGGGAGCTGTGGAGTGGCGAGACTCATAGACTGTGGTGACGCCTTGCAGACAGCCTGTCACGCAAGCAACCTTAAATATGCGTATCTTTGGGCCTTAATGAAAGTAAAGAGGTGAGTTATAAAAAAAATCACCCTGCATGCAGTTGACGAATGATTAAATTAGCCAGTGAGACCAAATCCGTTTTTTGTAATAGGCTCTAAACATTTTTTAGTTTTTTGGGGATTGACTCTGTTATGGAGCCAGTCTCAAGCTGTCATCCGAAGAAGTGCAGTTTTTGGAACTTCCTCACTGGCTTCATTTTTCAGCCTTGTAGGCTGCCACTTGCATGCAACCATAGTGTAGTTCGGTTATTGCCTAATTGCATTCATGCTTCCAAAAATCATAAACGTGGTCTTCACTTGGTAAGATTATATTGCTGATCAAAATATGTAAGTATCATGAACATATGTGCCACAGAGTTTTTTTTTCCTGCAATGATCCAAAATCCAATGGAGAAATCCCATAGGCTCTTTCTCAAGGGAACCAGGGTGATGCTAATTTCCAGGTTGCCCCACAGAAAAACATCACCCTGGAGTACTCTGTACCTTGAAAGAATATTCCACCAAATAGCTGATTTGATGCAAAGCAAGGTTCAGTCCACTGCCAAACACAGTTCATGCCGTACCACAATGATTTAATTATATGGAGGCAATTTAATGCTCTCACGCCATCAATTATACACAAGGCCATAATACTGTAGCATCCAAGGCTCAGGTGATTGGGTTTGTTGTTTTAGCTGAAATTTACTTCACACTGCACTGTATGTGCTGGAGGCAGTGCGAGCTTAAAGTACTACAGGGTTGCAGTGAAGGGCACTTGCACAGCGGGGTGAATGGTTGACTTTGAGAGTGTGTGGGTTGTTTCTGATGTTTTAACTTGATTTCAACAACATGAAACTTTTGAGAGTGCATCTTTTGATTCAGATAGAAAAGAGTATAGAAAAACAACAACACATTTCATCCACCACTTTCTAGACAGCCTGCTCCGAGGTTTGCACTGCAACCACAAAAGCTATTGTAGCTAGCTATCACTGCTCCACAAGGAAACAGGTTAATCTTCATTATGTAGTTCATAAGCAAGAAGGGACTGTTGCATTTCTTTCTTCATTTTTACAATGCCTATGTATGTACATCTTTTATCTCCCATGATGTGCAATATTTTAGATATCTTTCTTCTATTTCTGTTGTATATAATTTATTATTTTGTCTTTGGTATACCACTGTTCTGTCTTGTGTTGTTTTAAGTTGATTGCAGCTGTGTGCAGCACTATTGCCCAAGCAAAATTTCCCCTTGGGGACAATAAAGTATATCTTATCTTATCTACAGTAGCCTGCTCCTTGTTCCCCCGCTGATGTCCAAATCCAACCAAATTACACCAGTGTTTTTCCATTTTCTCCTTTCCAACTATCAAATACACATCTGACACTGAAGTAAAATAGACTGCACACAAACAAACAAACAGAAACATTCAGGCTTGTTCTTTGCAAAACAAGTCAGAAAGAGAGCTGCCATATCTGTTCTCAAGCGTTCTCCTTAACAGATGTTTGTGTGTGTGTGTATGTGTGTAAGTTTGACGGATTAAGTGAAAAATAATAATAGCCACATACTATCCATCCCAAGAGGAAAGGTGTGTATCTTTTTCTATGCACTGTGAATGCTCTTGCTGTGAAAACAGAGCACCGACAGGAAAACACAGACACATGAAATGTGGGACAGATGCTATGACACAACAAAGACAGCAGCTTATTCAAGTGACAAACACACAGGAACACGGAGGGGATTTTTCAGGTTGCTCTCCAGCCTAAAAAAAAAAAAGAAAAAAAAAAAAAAGAAAAGAAAAAGAAAAAAAAAGAAGAATTCTGTTTTTGTGTGTTTTGTGCATTTCTCAAACACCACAAACCTAACACAGGGAATACTTTGTAAGTCTGCATCTGTCGTGCGGCTCCTGCTGTCTGTCAATCTACCGAAAACTCACCTTTCTTGTCCCCAAAAAAGAGGGTCTGCTGTGCTGGGTTTGACCACTGGAGGGAGGTGTTGTCATTATACTCCACACGGCAGGTCATGTTTGCTGTCCCACCCTCTGTCACCGTCACGTTCTGAACGAGAGGGTACTGACCGCTGATGCCTGCAACATGACACATGAGACAAAAACATGTAAGAGGAGATGAGAATGCATCAGGAGGGAGTGGGAGATAAAGATACAGGGGGAAGACGGAGTGAAACAGATGGTGCATTTTTGATTGCTGGATTTGTAAGGTTGCTTTGTTAATTAAATTCGCTTAATAAATTTCACATGATCATATAAAATTTAAACTATGAAGTTAGACTAGAAAGTAATGTGATTTTTATCCACTTAGTTCATAATGATGCGCATAAAATAAAGAAAATTCTTTTTCTGTCACTGGAGGAGCAAATCAGCTCTTCACGCTACAGGACAAAGAGAGTAAATCTGGTTTGAGTCTTTGAAAAAAAAGAAGCTTAACACCCTAATTAAAAAGCAAATGTTTGCCAGGATGGCCACTCACTACTGTGTGCTAAATTGGACCCTAACATAGAACACACAGGGGGCATTTAGCCTGCGGTACAGACCCTGAAACCTCAGCTACACAGGGAAGACCAATTAAAAACCGTTCTCAGCGGACTTGTGAGTGCATGTGTGGATGCTTGTGTGTGCGCAATGCCTGCATCCGATGAGAGTAACAGATAGATAAACAGAGTTATATAATTCTGTGTGACCTCCGAGTCCGAGGAGAGCTAGTTTTCAGCACCATGGACAGGTCGCCTTTGCAATTGGTTCGTCAATAGCTGCCTGCCAGTTTTCAGAACTATGGACAGCTCACTGCTGTGCATGTGTGTGTGTGGTGTATGTGTGCGAGGGAGGCTGTGAGCAAGTAAATAATAATAACCATAAATCTATCCCTGTCCCTATCCCCAGAGGACAGGTTTTAAAGACTGTGTGAATAAAGGCTTAGGTAAGAAAGATTATTCATCCCCAGCTAACTCTCCCGTCTTAAACCACCACCCCCCCCCCCCAGGAAAGGATCATAAAGCTGGAAAAAAACATATAAGAAAAGAAAGAAATAAGACATATTCAGAAATGAGAAGTTTTCATATTCCATTTCCATGTGATTCCGTGTGACTCCTTTCCATTCAAACGCTGTTAATGTATTAGATCTCACTCGGCAGGCAATTTTGTGTTCCCCTTGCTTCAGCTAATGACTGCACAGGTAAGATAAACAAACCCTCAAATAGCGCTCGTCTGCAGGGTTAGCAGGTGAGGCAAACCCCATCACTGACAGACCCTGTGGTGAAGGACGTGTTGAGAGCGGAGAGGGTGAGGTGAAGGAGGAGAGGAGAGGTAGAGAGAGGTAAGTCAAGGAGCACGGGTCATTTCCAGTGTTGATTAAGGCCTCCCGAGGTTAATCATGCGTGTGAGAGATAGAGTGGGAAGAGCAGGGGAACGGAGGAAAAATGGATCTGAGCTATGGGAGGCTAGGAATATGTTTTATTCATGAAAGTTTTGCATGAGGCATGATCTGCCAACGATTTACCGTTCTCCTGCGCCTGCCCTCGCTCTCTTTATTACTTCCTCTCTTTAAATCACTTACTTTCCCCCCATTTTTCTCACTCACGCAGTTGGGTGACATACAGCACAGTGTGATACATTTTATTTCCTTTGTGCTAGCCACAAGGGGAAGTTAATGGTTAACTGCCATACCAAATGGTGGCAATGATGATTTTTTTTTGTGTGAGTTTCTGCACAATATGATGCTGTGTATGATTTTAGTTCATCACTGCAGTGGATGTGTCTCTGCAAAAAAATATATATAACTGAAGATGGAGACGCTCTCGGGATATGCTCACTTGTGGTATTGTCAACCCTGTACTCATCCCTGAAGTATAATCTGCTAGTTTGTTCTCCAAATGATCTGCTTTTGACAAACAAGACAACATGAGATTTGGATGATTTAATGTTACAGCAAAATGCTTAACATGCCCCTGGGGAACATGGGTGCCTCCAAAGTGTTTTGTCTATCCATATTTTCATCAAATACTGTTTGAATTGTGCTTCATAAACTGTGTATATATGTGAAAAGAAATTAAGTTATTTGATAGATATCTTTGATCAGTATTTCTTACAGTTCTCCCCAGTTTAAATGAACACTTCATCCCCCAAATGACCATTAGTATATCAATTAATCACCTCTGTTACATTAAATTCATGAAGAAAACTTTTTTTCTTACATGCCTCAGCTATAAATGAAGAATCCTAAAAAGGCAAACATTCTTGATGAATTGAAGTCATAGGTGGCTGCTTTAGCAAAAGCCAAATTATATTAAAACATCCGTTTACAAACGCCCACACAACTCGTGCAGTATAATCCAAGTCTCATTTGTCCATATGCTCAGTGCTTCCCAAACAAACAATCATTTCTGATGGGATACTGAAGTGAATGCAATACACATCTACGCTTTCTCCAAATCCACACTCCATTGACAAAACCAGTAATTCAACCTCACTGAACACGGGAGCTGCTGCACTATCACTGCCTCAATTTGTAGTTTGTTTGTGTTATTGTGTGACTTTGGTTAATCTGAACTAACCCTCTAAAATACCAAAGTCTCACAATGACAAACTAACTAACTGATCAAGGTCGCAGCAGACCAGCAGCTCCTGTGTTCAGCAAGGTAAAATTACTGTTTTTGTCAATGGAGTCTGGCAGAATAAGTTTCACTTTAAGTTAGTTCCTCTTCGAAAAGGGCTGTTAATTCAAGTGGATTAATAGAGTTGGATTTGACTGTATTAGTTTGTAAACTGATGTTTTGATATAGTTTTACTGTTGTTAAACGTAGCCCCCCTTTACTTCAGTTCCTCAAGAATCTTCTCTGTCTCTAAAATCTTTGCTGACCAGAAGCGTGCGAGAAAAACATTTTCTTCATGAATTCAATGTAACATGAGGTGAGTAACTGATACACAAATGGTAATTTGGGGGGGGGGGGGGGGGGGGGGGGGGGTGAAGTGTCCCTTTAAAGCGTGATACAAAACATACATCTATTTGTAAGACAAGGCAAGTTAAGTTTCTATAGCACAATTCAGACACAACAGTAATTCAAAATGCTTCACACAAGCATAAACATACAATCAAAACTGAAAACAAGCAATTCATTAAAGTGGAAAAAAGGAAAAAAGAAATGCAGTAGATTTAAAGGATTTAGGAGCTGTAGAAGCACAAAATGAGACATCTTTAAATGACCTTTGGAACAGCAGCGGCTAACAGAAAAGTTTTAAGCCCTGTTTTAAAATAACAAAGGATTGGAGCAGACCTAAAGAGCTGTGGAAGTTTATTCCAGATCTGCTGTGCATAAAACTGTAAGCTGCCTCTGCATGTTTGGTTTGCACTATAACTTTACTTATCAGGACAGAAGTTAAAAATCATAGAATATATTACAGTTTCTTTCTGCCATTCTCTCCCTTTTTTCCTCTGGCACTAGTGCCTATACAAAGTTACAACAGTACGGGGATCCCTCTGCCTAAGCCCTGCGTCAGTGTCTGGTGAAACACGTCCGGTGGGATTGGAAGGGCCGAAGGGGCCACAATGATGGTTATATTAGAACAGTGCAGTGCTCTGTGTGCCTAATTGGCCAGTGGAGTAGGTTCTTCCATTCTCCCCTCTGGCCACCCAGACCTGATTTAAATGTATCTCCTGAGGGAAAGAGGCAGCTGTTCTCTCCTGATTTCCATGTCTAAATTTAGGTCCTTCCCTCACTTCACCTCCACGCTTTCTCCTACTTTCAGTTTCCTGCTCTCTCTTTTCCAGTTCACATCCATTCCACTCAATTCCCTTCTCTCTATTCCTCTCTCTCTGTGTCACGTTTCCTCCTCTAGTTGATCCCTGAAGGGTGGCATTTCCACTTTCTTTGTCTCTCATTTTCATATTCTCTCTGTCTCCCCCTGCTCTCCCACTCTTTCAAATTTATCTTGATCCTACCTCCTTTCTTGTACTCAATTGGGGCTTTATCTCTCATGGAGAGTGGGGTCAGTTTAATTGCCCTCCACTTTGACTGACATGCCAAGGCTAAGCCAGGTCAACAACGCCCTCATGCTCATGACATTATGAAGTAATGACATAATGAAATTAGCTTTGCTTTATTTAGCTTGAATTGGATAATATATATGTCACCTTAAATGGCATATAGAGCAATGCAACACTTGATTCATATAAGATGGTGACTATCGCAATGCGGGTTACAGCTGCCTCTGAACAAATAGCAAATCATAATTTCGTGTAGATTCTCACTTTACCCTTCACACAGCTGTCTCCCTCGATGAGATGAATCTTAAGAATTAAAGGGACCACTCAGTACCCTCCAGTACACAGTGTATACACTGGCTAATAATCAAGGCTGGCGGCAAAGCTTCCCCACAATCATTTGGACTTGTGCCTCCCACCACACAAAGTACTGCATCCAATTTTTCTCAAAAGACCAAACTATTACGTATGCCAAAGTAAATGTCTGTGCAGCCAGTAGAGATATCCACAGAACGGGAAGGCACAGTCAAACAGACAGTACCTGTTGCCAAAGCAAACTACCGGACAAATAATACTGATAAGAGTATCCCGGATGTTTCCTGTCTGCTCTCTGACATGACCTTTCAAGCAAGAGCAGCTGAGTCTACTAACCTTTCTTATTTAGGCATTCAAGAAGCAGAGAAAAAGAGAGAGATGCAGGGAGACAGACGGACAGCCTGGAGCTACTGACCTTTACACCAGGACTGGAGCTCAACTGAGCTGTAGAGCTGTGATGTATGGGCTGGGAATACAGGATTACAAAATGGATAGAGGCAGTCCACAGTTTTGATTAGCCAATTCACCTTTTAAGCCAGTCGAACATAAATATGTTATAAATGCAGACTCAGGATATCATCACATTGAATTTGAATTCAAAGGATTAGTCTTGTTTTCACACTGCCAGCACTTCTATCAGGTATGAAAAAGCAATCTCTGAGATCTGGGAACACAGTAATGATGCAACAATGAAGCACGAAACAGAGTGCTAAGGTAATCAAGCAGCTTGTAAACACGTTAATACGAGGTAATCCTGAAAGTTAGCATAATGTTGGTC